GCGGCAGGAAGATTACGTGGAACCCCCACCGCCGGCATACACAGCGTTTAGTGGGGAGGGTCAAAGCATGGGTTCCACTACCTACGCAACCGACGCGGTTTTTCGGGGGGACGGAATGCCGTCAGAGCGGCCTGTAACTGACGATAAGAAGCCTACGACGACGCTGCAGATCCGTTTGCATAATGGACAAAGACTCAGGGAGACGCTAAACATGGACCACACAATTCGTGATTTACACGCTATAATTCAGATGTACGTTGGAAGGGATGTAAGAGCTTATGTGGCGACGTTGACGTGGTCATGTTATTATGCTCTAGGAACGACGAAATGACACAACCATACACACTGTTGGCAGGATTTCCTCCTCGTCCTGTGTCAACGGATCTAGCACTGACTATCGAGCAGGCGGGACTCAAGGGTGCTGCAATCACGCAAAAACTCATTTAAGTCGTTGCTTGACATTTCTAAAAACAACTCTTAAAATTTTGATGTCATTTGTGTGCTTAATTTCTTTACACACACACAGCGTATAGGTAATTAAGTTCTAGTTTTGAAGCTCTCCATATCGCTGCTATGGTTACGATTTCGACACGCAGCTTAAATACGGCAAAAGCCTTTATAGTGCAGATTTACTTTGCCTTGCAGTCTTCTACGCGCACTTGTCCCAACATTAATGGCCTCGACTGTTCTCGCCTTTGGGTTCAGGTTTACGAAATATCTAACACAATTAAGTTGTCTGAAACTTTCATGATGACATTTTCTTCCACGCAGGGAGTCGTGGTCGCCATGTCTGAAGACAATATGCAGTACACGATAGACGACGGTACTGGCGTCTTGCACCTGGAGCTAAGAGTTTTCCTGAAAAATACGCCTTCTGGTGTGGATGCTAGACCCCAATTGGGTCAGTCGCTGGTATATGATAATAAAAACACGCTGAGCTTTGCATGACAAGTGGTTTGAATAGGTGATTTCATTATGGCCATTGGACCGATGCAAAAAATCAAGATTGACACTGCGGTATCGGTGCGTACATTGCTGGCCCATCAGATTGTCAAGCTAGACACAAAGTTTCAGCGAGAACCCATGTGGTTTTTAGAGGTTATTGAGTACTGGATGTCCATCGCATGTACAACTGCATGTTAATTGTTTTATAAAACGCGTTTTACGAAATTTTGTACATGCTTTTCGTCAATCCTTGATGGGGATTAAACCAACGATACGCATGTAATCCCGCAAAGCATACTGACATCTACCTTTTCGTCTGTTTTCCTTTTGATCAACACTTCAGCAGTATGACTCAAAGGCGCGTTATTCAATAAAGTGAATACAATTACTCGTCCTTGGGCTTCTGACCGGTCTTTTTGGCCAACGCCGCAGACGCAACCTTTGGTGGAAGTACTTCGCCTTCTTTAAGCACTGCCTCCTTTTCGTTCAAATCCCTCTTGTACTGCGCCACATCATCTGCACCAAGCCAGTAGTCTAGTACTGCCACCAAAACAGCCACGACGATGGCAATTACTAAGATACTCGCCAGGACTGCAAGCACGGTGTGCTCCATAGCCCACTCAATAGTCATATCAACGAGCTTAGAGAAAAATCCTTCCTCAGGAATCGGACCAGTCGATTCCGCCGTCTTCCAGCCGCTCTCAACGAAGTCCAAGAATGCAGGAAGCGTGCGACCACCCTTGTATCTATATACTTGTCCGTCATTGAGGTAGAAGAGTGACGGATATCCATTGACCCCAAAGCGCGAGCAGACGCGTCGGTGTACGGTGCAGTCCACTTTAGCCACACGGACGTTGCTGCCAGTTTCTTTGAGGGTGCGACTCAGTTTAGTCCAAGTAGGAGCAAGACGCTTGCAGTGGCCGCACCAGGGCGCGTAAAACTTGATAAGCCATGGGCCTTTTCCCGGCAAAACCTGCTCCTCGAATGAAGACGTGCTAAGTTGTACAACTGCACTTTTACGCTCGTTTTCTTCATGCTCAGCAGCTGCTGATTTACGCTGATCAACGTGCTCTGCATAGGATAGTACGCGCTCTCCAAAGTCCTTCTTATAGCCTTTAGTCGAAAACGCCAGCATTGAGGCCACATCGCGACGGCCATTATAATCATAGGACTTGCCATCAGCCACGACCTTGAGCGTCGGATACGATCCCACGCTAAAGCGTTCGCAGATACTACGCTCCTTAGTGCAGTCCACCTTAGCTACGTTTACGTCCTTAGAACTTTCCGATAGATCTTCAATCACAGGCGCTAGTTTTTGGCAGTGACCACACCACGGCGCATAAAATTTGATGAACCATACGCCGTTGCTAGTCAGATGGTCAAATGTAGCCTCAGTCAATACTTCGGTATCAGCTGATGCGCACCGCGCCAAGAAGGCAAATACTGCGATCGCAGGCATCATTGCGCGACTTATCATCTTTAGACGAGAACTTCGGGGGACACTTGTCGGATTTTGAACTGAACAACTTTCGTAATCAAGAGACAATCATAGCAGTCGAAATTTTACTCGTAAAGCGATTATTTGGCGTATACGCAACGTCGTATTTTCAAAAATTTCAGTACAACATGTTAGTGCAGATATGATAGTTGCGAAACCTGTTAAAACTGCTATTCAAAGTCGATCGCTATTCTGCTAAGATGACGGCAAAAGCGAACGATATCATGTAGTCACAATAACGCCTGAGAATTAAGGTGATTCGGTGCCTTAAACTAAACGGCTACTTTGGTCAGTACCAGAACTTCAGCTCGTTTCCTTCACCCCAAATTACCATCCATTACTCGTCAAACTTACGTGTGAGGGGTAGGGCCATTTAAAGTCAGCAGCAAGCAAAAGAGTGCGGAAGTTAAGTCAGCGGAGGATGCCTCAGTGGGCACCTGAATTGTGCGGAGTATCGGTCATCGTGGAAGTAACTGTGGAGACATGTGCGGCAAGATGCAATACAGCACCCTGCTTTAGGAAGCGTAGGAAGTTGAATAAATTCCTAGTAAGCATACATCAGGGTGAGGTAAATTGAGGATGCACATATTTGTTGGATTGTTAATGGTCTGTGACCGAAGCTAAGTCTAACAGCACATTGCAGTATATGATATATGCAAATGACTCAGCTCCCTATATTTACAAACCAGTGACAACGATTTCGACACCGAACGTGACATGTGACACTTAGGTAGGGCTACGACTGCAACATAGTTGCCGTGCGCTGTGCTCGAATGGGGATTTAACTCAGAAAGCCCGCGTTAAACAATGCGCAAAGGTTGAAATCGTACGCTTCACCTAGGCGTGGAATTGAGAGCATCTTAAGTAAGTAGGTGTCTATCTTGCTCTGCTGTTTTAAGATTACATATATAACGGAGCAAGTACTGTAATCTTTGTGCGTAAACCTTACACATTTGGTTCAATTGAATTAAGTACAATGCAGTACATCAAAATTGTAATCATTGTAAGAACCTATAAGTACCAAGAGTGTCGGTTTCTACAAGATAAAGCAACTCCGAAAAGGAGGAATCCGAGGTACACATTGGCTGCTAGTCGCACATCAAAAAAATACAGACATTTACATGAAGTAAGATATGCTTTGGACTCGAGAAGCTGTCAAAAGCGCTGGGGGTCAGACTCACTTCGCGTAATGAATAAGAGGAGAAAGCCGCTTCACCGTCTCTAGAATTGTAAGCCAGCTTCAGCACAGTAATAATTCGCCTATATCGTCGTCTCATGCTTGTCTTTGCAAAATTTAGATCGCAATGAGGACGTTGAGGCAACAACCCGTCATCTCAAGCTCCTGCTGTTTACTGCCCCGCTCGTCTTCATGCAAACTGTTTACTTAAAGTCGTATTGCAGCGGGGCTGCCGTAGCTTTTGCTTAGAGAAAGCTTAGCTAAGGTCACCTACCTCAAGTTTTCTCCAAACGGATTGCAATCCGCTACTCCTAATAACCAAGGCCTTACCAAGGGAAACGAACACTTCTATTCATAAACGAAACTGTAGTAATTGTTCTAGTTGCGGCAGAGCCGCCAAAATCTAAAACTTTAGGTATTAATACCGTAATATCTGATTAATATAGCAAAACCTAATCAATATGCATTACTACTGGCAATCCTGCCACATGGTGGCTTCTTGTTACGGTGATGTTATTACACTATCTGTGTAATACACACCTATATACGGTCGCACAATCTTGTGCGAACTGCCCTTTCCCACAAGGGCACGTGTAACCCTGTTACACTTATTCACCTTAAGGCGAGAAGCCCTTTACCAGTGTGAAGCGCGCTGCGACGGGTGACGCTGCCTTTCTCCAAGGAAAAACAGGCCAAGGGTGCGATAGATCACAAGCTGCCGCGGCACCTGACCAAATATGTCGACGAGTTATTAGACTACGGTTAATCTTTCACTTAACTTGGTGTGCCGAAAGATAATCACCTCTTGCTTAGCGAGTGGTGCCGACGGAAGTCTACGCCCCCGTGGCTTGATTTCGTGAGCTTTCATAATTATGGTTGCACAATCACTCTCTCTGATAATCGGCGTGCATCCGAAACTGAGATGTATCTCGGATAGGCTTCCGGAGATTTGCCATTGCTCTCCATGGGTTGACGCGCCTCCATCAGCTCAGATTTGCGTTGCATTTTTTAAGCAGAGGGTAGCTCAGCTACTGGGTATGGTAGACATTGCTACGTCTGCATTACAGATCAGCACATCTGATTGGATCTTAAGAGCGAAAAAGAGGTAAGCCTACACGAAACACTGGATGTCAGTGGGATGTGAAGTATATAGCGCACACCACAACCATGAACGGTCCAATTCGGTGAAATCGCAACAAAATCTCGTAGACTGCGGACACTATATGATAATTGCATTTATAATAACAGTCACCCCACAACATATTCGCACCTGTTTTCACTTCCTCTGGCTTCAGCGTGCTGTCTTTGCATATCTTGGCTGTACGCCATCGCGACGAGCACCATGCCCATGGCGCACAATCGTATCAAGATAGCATCAATGAACTTGTTTTAGAGCGTAGCTGATTGGTATCAGTAAGTCGTTCTGATTGACAGTGCCTTCCCCACTGATGTAAAAGCCACTTTTTACGATGTCAAAGACCCCCGGGAAAACACCAAACCGTTTATGCAGAGTTGGAAAAGCCCGTAATGTGACGGGCTACATTTAGCAACTACATGAAGTCACATTGATACATCTGTGTACCTCTGCATTTATGGCAAAGAAGATTATAGTATGGATTACCAAATGCATACGTGACATCTTGTATGAAGTTAAGGGCATTCTGTGTGACGAAAGATGCTGGTTTATACTGGTGACGAGACCGACGTGTCTCTATTTTTCGTTTGGGTGGCGTAAGCCAGTCACTTCTCTTATACTTTTGACGAAGGTTGAAGGTCGAGCTTTTCGAAGTTCAAGCTTCGTTGTATAAGCTGAAGCTGAGTTCAGCCTCAGTGCACCCTTAATTGAATAAATTAGGAACTATGGTTAATTTTGTGAAACCTTAAGGAGCTCTTGGGGTGTTTTGCATGTAGCTAGGAGCCATTAACTCATTTAATTTAGCTGCAAAATACTCTCAAGTCATTCTTCTTCCCTACACTTTGGAAATTGCTTCCTCGTCGCACAAGCGTGTGTATTTTTTGAGGTACTGTTATGATCAGCGTTTCTTCGCGTAAGGGCTGACCTGCATCACTTACGCAAACTCAGTAAGTGGGGCAACTCACTCCAGCACCACCGTATCTATGCGCAACTGTTTCAAACGATAATCCTTTCAGCTTGAATCACATGCTCCGTTGGCTTTCTGGTAGCGGGTGTCAAGCGGTTGATATATCCGATCTGGTGTCGAGCACTCTGACCATCTCTTGCTGTAAAGCGTGGAGCTATATACGACACAATGCGCCATATTGACGAAACGTTTTGACAAGGCGAGCTGGATATTCCATCGCCGACGGCAGCAAGATAAACTACCTTGCTTAGACAATACCAAAGACCACAATACCACTATTTTACTGGGCGCGGCTTTTGAAAGGCAATCAGGTCCATACTAATAGGTCCATACTAATAGACTGTCAGCACTCTGCCGAAACCTGCAGGCCGACCGAAGTTTCTACCGCATGCGGCGAGGGTCGGACCGTTGACACAATACACACGCGCACACATATATGCTTGCCCAATCATACATTTTGGCCCACCGATACGTTGCGCTCACTAAGTAGTAGATCTTTCTTCTTCCGAGGTGTGCCTCGTACATTAGTCTGTACGGATGTTCTCATCATAAGGCCACTACACGCTGAGTGCTATGTGGGTAAGTGCTGCAATACAGCAAGCCCTGTGATAAAGCATAGTGGCGTTGGCGTGCGACAGTGCGCTTCGATGAAGCGAGCTTTTAACTTCAAGCTCTTCGCCTTCTTAAGCTCTTAACATCGCAACACTTGTTGCGTCTGACCCGTACGCGATACCAATCACCTCATCAACTGAGGATGTCGCCATCGTGACATGTGGCAATCCGTAGTCGGGGCGACGCGGAAGCGCATCCCATCACATTAAGACGGTCCATATTATACGTTATCTTAGGGGGATTTTGCAGAAAATAAACATCCTGCCAGTTTCGATGAGAAATATGATGACGACGTCACTGTGCGCAACGACGCATGGTCTGCGTCGATCACAAACAGCGTAAAGCCAACCAGGTGCACCCTGAACTTGACGAGGGCATACTATATTGCAATCTGGAAAAAGCAGCCTATTGCGATGTCTGTAGCATATTAGCCGATATTGAATGATAGAACTGATTTGGAAAAGCCAGAATGGGGCACATATCGATTTTATTCTCACATCTATTGACGTCGCCTCTTTTGCCATACCCTTGCATTATCTAAAGTGCTTTTTAAGTAGATTGGTGAGGAGTTGTGCCATGTCAGCAAATCTTGCACTGTACTTCTGCAAGTAATTAGCGAGCCAATTTCTCATGTCTTTTTACGACAGAGACATTGCTCAATCTACAATAGCCGATATCTTTGGTGATCTGGCGGTAGGTCGTACTTACCTATAAAGCAACACAGAAAGGAAATTATGTAGGCGCAAAATTCCACTTGTCTTCGTTGGGAGCAGCTTGTTTAAGCGCATACACTCGAGTATTGCTCGCAAGTGCCTAAAGGGGCTCTCCATATTCTACATATCATGCACTGCACAGCTATGGGTAAATGTAATATCAAAACAGGTTTGTGCATAGGCGCAGTGTGGTTTGAAAGCTGTCTCAACAGACAATTGAACGTCGCAAGTTTATTAGACAGTGCATGTTGCATAAAAGAGTATCCTACTTTGAGCAGTGAAAGCTATATTTCTGCATCATCATTAGTTGATCATATCCATCAACTATGTCAAGGGCGCTAGAATAAAGCAGTCAACCAT